TTTTCTTATTTATAAACATCAGAGAACGCTGAACTGCGTGATTAAACAAGACTGACAAAATATCTGTGTAATGCAGGAGTGAACTACCTCAAAGTGATTGACGCTGAGGAAAGGGTGATTGTTCTGTTTCAGTGAAACTAACGTGCACACGACATCCAAGCCCTTTCAGAGCAGTTAACATGCTGCACTTGAGTTGTAAGCAAGAGGCTGTATAGCAGCCTATCAGTTCCCCATTAAGTCCAATCTCGGAGTCCACATTAGGCTATGACTATTCCTCGTGCTGCTCAGATTAACCTTTCAAAATACTTTCTTCTGCTGTTAAATACAGAAAATGTCTCTGTACATAGGCTGGGGACAAACAGCAGGACGGAGACCGGCGTCAGGAGTTAGCAGGTAGATTCTGTTTCTGGCTATGCAGAGCCAGGAAACGTTATTTGGCCAAACGCACAAACCTGGATGACCACAATTAGACTTCTTGATTTCCCTGAATTACTAGATGAGCTGGTGGAAGGCACACACATCAGAAATATGCCAGTTAGCAAATCCTATTAGGCACATGCTTAACAAGCCCACGTATGTTAAAGGAGTTGACGAGACTGAGATGCCAATCACTTATGTGCTTTTGAGACTGCTACCTGAGATACTAAAGAATGGATTTAGGAGTCAAAGCTGTAAGGACTTGGCCGTTACAAAGCATTAGAACTAGGTAGAACTAGGTATTTAGAAAATGCAGACTTTTTTTGCTATTTTGCAATAGTAATGTGTTTAGATTGTTAGATTGTTTCATTAATGCACTATCTAACTGGCCCATGAGGAGCAAGGAGCTTCTTCAACGTGTTTCCCCACTACAGTTAAGAACTATAGCTTGAAATGTGGCAAGAAGTAGTATTAGTGTTAGCCTGGGAGCCTTTTAAACATTTTAGTAGAAAAGTGCAAGTCCAAATATTGTTTTGGTGATTCATATTGATAAAGCTGCACACTGTGGCGCACGTTCGGCTTAGCTCCTGTGAATAATGCAGACTGAGGCATGCACAAGAGAAGAGCAGCATTAGAGCACAGGTCTCGTCTCCGGAAGTGAGGAGATGAACCGCGGCAGAAAGCATCTCCATGGGAACACGAAACACTGCACAATCCCTCCTGCACAGGAAGCCTAAACCTCTCACTACTCTGCCTGCCCCTTTCTAAAAGAACTGCCGAAGCAGGGGGTTTGGGGAAAGAGGAGCAGTGGAAGAAATTGGTTTTCCAACACAGGACTCACAACAGCGATAATTTTTGCAGCATCTTACACAAGAAATCAGGATATTAACTCTTCCTTTGCAGCACTCTTAAGCCCATCCTTAAAACAATTCATAAAAATAGCTCTGATTTTACTCTGATAATTATCTCTGATGAGTATGTTATTGATATTATATCACCCTTATTTTTGTCTGTAATATTACTAGACTTCGCAAAGATTTGTCAGTCTTGGAGCTCCTTCTGCAAAAGGAGAAATTCCATCCCCAAGACATTATTTTTTAACACGCTGTCCCGTCTCGCAGATATTTACTGCAAGGAACTGAAAATTACTTTTTATTGTCGAAACCTGTCCCCTCCCCCCTAACCCAAGAAACTCAGTACCTCATGATGCTAATAAAACAGCTGCAGGGGACAGAGGCTGGAATGAAAAAGGTACAGGCAAATTAACCCAGAAAAACAGAAGTTATAGCCAGGAAGAGCAGAGTATGTGTTTAAAGCTTTTGTTTCTTAACGGAGGCCTTTCTAGGTGAACTCACCGAGGCTTCTCACTAGATTTATTACTGATCTTACTAGATTCATTGCTCAGATTGATTTTTGGGAGGTTTATTGCTGTTTTTTCTAAGTAAGCCAATCAACAAAGACTGCCTCTCCTGCTTCCCAACACCCTTCATTATTCCCCAAGGAAAGTGGGTGTCCGGCTGTCTCTCTAGCTGTGAAATCTGCTTGGGAAATAAATAAAAAATACCTGCCATGATGGTGTCCTCAGACAAGCCAGCATTTTTATTATCTGGATATTCTGACCTAGCAAGATGTAGAAAAATAATTAAACTGAGCAGACTGTTAAAATGCATGCTAATTAGTGTTAACTTCTTCCATTAGTAGCCTATGAGCATGGCACGGTTTGAAATAAATAGGCATAGGGAACCTCTAACACTTCACAAACTGTTTCACTTTCCAACAGGTTTGCCCCAGGCAAACAGTTTTGAACCTCGGGATCACTTTGCGCTGAGCCTTCATACAGAGCTCTTCTGTGGCTGCATTTCGGCAGGCAGCAGGAACCTGGTATTAAGGGCCAGTCACCAGCTCAGATTAAAATGAGACACATGGGGTTTTGCAGAGCACCTGCAGAACAGAAGTCTGTCTCAGACAAACGTAAACTAAGAGATCAAGCAGGGAACGTAGGCTGAATTTCCACAAGCAAAGGTTAAATACGATGTTTAATCTAGACTTAGAAAAGGAGCGTGACCAGCAAGGCTCCCTCTCCTTTTCACCCATGGAACAATTTGCCTCTTCATGATGCTGCTAATTCCTCTAAGCACTGTGCTGTAATCCATCAGAAATCAAGGATAATTTTACTAATAATCTTTGCTGGCAACAGTCTGGGCTTTTGTCCGTGCTGGGAGAACTCCTGATTCCAGACTGCTTTACTGAGACCGTACAGCTGCAGTCATTCTCCTTCCCCTGGAGAGAGAAGTAACCCCTTTTTTCTCAGCTCATGGAGAGGAATTTCCTTTCTGAATGTCTTTTTATAGTTCTGAAAAGCACCTGTTGACCGAGAGAGGGAGAGAAAGAGAGAAAAGGGAGTACAAATGGACCCATTCAAGGACATAGGAGCTGCCTTTGCCTTGGCAAAGCAGACGGGGGAGCAAACCTGCATTAGCAAGTCAGTGCTGACATGCGAACCTCGTACACTGTCCTCACTTTGGGTCCCAGCATATCTGTTCTTTTGAACCACTCTGCTTGTAATTTTTGTGCATTACCTTAACCAGCTTAGCAATAGCCTCTCTCTTCTACACGCAGTTTAATTTTCTTCTGTGATCAAACAACATAGTCCTTGCGATAGACTCTGAAATTACTGCTGTCCTGGTGCCCCTAGAACCTGACTGGCTTCACCACCACAAGGTCCCTACCCCAGAGATCATGGTTACCCCGGCCTGCAGATAGCCTCAAAGTCTGGATCATGTTTAGGCTAACTTTCCTCTCCTTGCTGGAAATCCCATTCTTCTGTGCAGCAACACGGCTGTACAGCGAGTGTTTTGGGAGGGGGAGGCTGGCTATTAGGGCTTTTTTTTTTTTTTTTTTTTAAACATCTGAACAGATTTTCATGTTTTCCACAGCACAGTGGAAAAGGAAACTTGAGTCTCAGCTTCTCAGCTGCCAGGAAGCCTGAAGCTGTGGAAGAAAGTGAGACACCAAGCAAAGAAGGGGACACTGGGGATGCCTAACTGAAAAACTGAAAGGAGAGACATCACCTGCACGTGCCAAGTGCACAACTCCCAGCAGCCTGATAAAGACGTAAAAAGGACAGGAGAGCAGCTACCTGGACATGCAAGGAATGCAGTCATAATGTCATAATGTACAAGGCAGGAAAAGAAACCATGTCTGGCTGTGGTAGAAGAGGCTTCACCTCTGCCACTAAACCATTTGGGCTGATACTTTCTGCTTGAGAAAGATTTTTTCAAGGAAGTCTTGCCTAGGTAAAATCTGCAGGGCTTTAGGGAGGAGACAGCTTGGCTTGGCCTGGCCTACTTTGAGAGTTGCAAGGAGATGCAGGAAAGAGACAGAACACAGCCCATCTTAGGAGAAATGTCCCAGAAGCGTGTATGTCCAAACGGAGACTGGGGGCTAAATGTTGCTCAGCAGTTCATCAAAATCAGCCTTAAAACACTGAACTACCATTCAGACAAACTTAAAGAAAAGGGCTAAGCAGGCTCTGTGAACAATCTTGTCTCTCTTCAGATAGAAAAATGCAACCAGTAAGCCTCCAAATAGGGTTGCTATTGAGAACAATGATTTACAACAGTAAGCGAGTAAAGAAAATGGGAAGAAGCCCCGAACACTCATGCAGCCCAGTCTCCTGTTTCATCAAGTGATCCGATCAAGCATCAACGTGATGGAAAACTTAAAACTCCTTACATGAATATATTGCTTGGAGAAAAGCTGAGGAATAAAAGTACCAATTAAATTACAAAATTTAATAACTCAAAATTGTTCCTACACCTTTAGAATAGGAGAAACTAAAATTTAACCTTTCAGCCACAAAAAGACAATTAATACAAGTGTGTTCACACAGTCACAGGTATATTTTATCCTGTAAAACTGTATTTTGAATAGGTGTCATTTTCTGGGAGTCTGCTGAGATCCAGTAACTTATTACTGATTTATAAAACAGTGATCATGAATTAGTACTAAGTACTTATTTGCTGTGATAGCTCTCTGACTGCACAATGATTCTCTGCAGAGCACCATTTTCTTAACATTGCAATCAATTCCAGGTACAGCTGGATTATGGACATACATGAAAAGAAACTCCTCCCAACTAGCGTACACAGCAGCAGAGCTGGATCCTATTGTCATCCGCCCCTGATGTAGACAAAACGGCAAAAATATCTGCTCTATCAGTTAATCAGTCACCACATACTTTAAAGAGCATTCTATCAATACTTTCCATTACTTTTACTTCAAGCTTTTAAAATTCTATCGACAGCAGGAGAAGCCTCCATTTCAAACTAGTTTCTCCAATTTTAAGTGTGCTTCACAAATACTAACACATTTTTGGTAGGTCTCATCAGGCAAAAGATGTTTTAAAATAAAAACTAGTGCCTCAATAATTAGAGCTTTTTTTGACTAATCCTTAATGTTGCTTGAACTCACTGCCAAGTCCCACAAGAAACATACACCTCATACAAAAAGCTCAAAATCATAGTAAACAATCTTAAATTATATTCTTAAAGTAACAGATTTCCACTTCAGAAAGACAAAAATGCAGATGTTACAAACAATCCATTTATTGCGTTTTAAACTAGGTACACAATTGAAATAATTTTGGCACTATGCTATACAGTGGTTACATCCGTGTGCTGACACTCATTAAATACTGCACCAGGAACATTGCTGTGCTTTGAAGTTTGGATTGAGTCACATACTCAGCAGGTAGATCACTCAAAATGTATCAGTGCTCCTGTACGACTGCATGGAAGTTGAAACACACACCAGTTTATGAATTATTTCAATGTACCTCACATTCTATGAGCTTATCACATCAGAATATGTGATGTCAGCATTTAGACATGGCCACAAGTGTTGCATTAAAATCTGAATGAGACATAGTAATAATGAGATACAAGAAAACCAAAACAAAACCTCTGCCTTTTAGACATGAAGAGATATTCTGTTAAAGAAAAATAATTTAAAAAACTAATAATGGCATTTGATTTGATACAAAAGCCAGAACTACTACAGTATTAACATCTAAGTATGAATCTTTACAAATTAATCTCACAATGGTGTTATGTAAAAGGTTGCAAACTGTACAATGTTTTGTCAATGCAATGCCTCTACAATTTATACAGTCTTTTACAACTATGTAACACATATTAAACATGTTGTTAAATAGCCAATAGATACCAGTCTCTGAACAAAGCTGCAGGCAAAAAAAAAAAAAAAAAAAAAATTGAGCTTTCACAATCTTTGAGCAAGGTGTGCTTGCTCAAATACTGACAATCTTTATGAGAATATGCTGTTAAAAAGTCAGCTATTCAGTGCCTTTACACACTGTGCATACACTTCATTCTGTGAATTCAACCATCACTTGATAGTCCACAATTTCATAGCTATGGGCTCTAACGACACAAAAACACCCATAGACTTTCACCCTTAGAATTATGCAGATAATCATGGATTTTTTTCCCCCACACTTGGTCAAGCTATCTATGATGACCTGGCCAGGCAGTAGGAGCTTGCAATTCCCATTTTTTGTCCTGCCATCATCTATACTGCACAGAGAAGATGCGCTATTTACATTTCTGCAAAGAAGATACAAAAAGGCAATCCTGCCCTGAGGTGGATTAAGTGATACAGAGCCCGCCATCTGGGGGTACTCAAACCCAAGTAGTGAAAAATAAATCCTTTGACAAAGACAGGTTCTTGGTCTTGTAAGCTGACCAGATAAGAAGTTGCATCAGCAAAACTGGAGAGCTTCACTGAGAATATTCTGGCTTACAGTACTCTCTGGTTCTGCATATCCTTGATATCAGAAACAGCTAGGAAGAAGGGTAAGAAAAAGAGGATAAGAAATGTGCAGTGTAAGTCTCTGTGCAAGAGAGCAGTAACAAGGACAGATGTGTGATGCAGGCCAATGACAAGGGTCTTGGCAATAAAATCATGATCAGGCTCTCCGAATGCTATAGGGAGACTGTGGGGCTCCCTGGGGAGGTGAAATTCCTTAGGAATAGAACCAGGCCTTTATGTTTGTATTTAAAAGTGGTTTTGATTAGGCATGAGGATGTCCAATACAAAGCTTTCTATGTAATAATTTTCTTTCGAGTTTCCTTTATTTTGCAGAAAGTCTTCTACATCCTCATTTTTTCCAGGAGTAACCTGAAATAAAAAGAATTCAAAAGAAGATTATTTTCTCACATTGTTACCATAGAACTATGTAATAATAATCTTCCTGTTGGAAGACTGTCACAAAACATCACAATACAGAACAGATGAGAATTTTGCAGCCTAACAAAGACAAACTCCATGGATGAGATAGAGTCGCTTTTTAAGGACATGCCTGTGTGAAGAGTCCTGGTAGCAACTATACAGCATGGAAGAGGGAACAGTTTTGTAGCAGTTATTGCCCATCGCAAGACCTAGGCCATATACTCTACTGGATGGTGGCTACAGTCCCCAAAAGCATCAGAAGTATAACGCAAGAGCCTTATCTCTCAAACTGCCAAGCATTTAAAAGGCAGCCAACCGGCAGACAATGGCGAAAGTGAAGGAAACATCAACATTCAAGAAAACAAGCACAAACATCTCATCAAGACACTAGTATAATACAGAAATGCATATGGAAAGATAGACAATATTTACCCCGAAACAAACCTGATACTGAACAATACACTGGAGGTGAAAAGGACTTATATTTGGCAAGAGCATTCCCCCAGCAGTCTGCGGTTTCTTCCCTATGCCATGCTAAACTGGAGAGCTAAAGTAAGTTTTGCAAAACTAATGTTTCTCTTAATTTATGTCAAAACATATATAATCTTACCTATCTATGCGTAATAGCATGGTGAAACCAAGAGGTCTGTAAGGACTAGCAGCTGGTCATCAGTGAACTGCTGTTTATGTTCCTGCCAGTTGTCATGGTGTGTCCTCCGGAAATTCGACAGTGTTTTTTTCACAGTCATCTGCATAGCAGACAGTTAGCATTGATCTGTTATCAGTTATGGATTTAAACTCCAGGACAAAACAAACATTTAAACGCAACAGACAAAAACAACTGTTGAGTAGAGGTAAGTGAGCAGTTACAAAGGCTAGGAGGGCTCCAAGCCACTTCCTTCCCTGGTATTTTTATAATGGAGGTTAAAGTCTTTTAACCAGCATCAGGACTCCAACAATCTTACAAAATGTATTCTTCTTCCTACAAATTCAAGTTTAAGACAAAGAAATAGATTCTTATAAAGTGTGAGCAAAATGATTTTCCTCTTCCTCTTGGTTTTTCAATTCAAGATAGAAGTAAAACATGAAAAAAAAAATCATACTGGATCAGTCATGTAAATAACTTGCATAGGAGAAAAAAATTCAGAGGAAAATGATCTTTCATTATTAAAATAATTATGATTATATTATCATAAGAAAAGTCCACTCAGTACAGTTTCCTGAATCAGTAAAGAAAGCCCTAGCAAAGTCAGTCAAATTTAAGGAATTCTTCAGCAGGTAAGCTCACCACTCTGGTTAAAACAGCAAAGGTCAACAAAATGGAGTACAAAGAGCAAAAAACAGAGTTGATGGTAAGAACTTCATTTATAAGCAGCTCTAAAAATAAGTTTCAAAACCTTGTTTTTTAAACAACTCAGCAGGATTTTTTTTTTTTGGTTCAGGTTGATGTTTTCTAGATGTCAAAATCTATTCAATTATACCTTTGTGGGTATGTACAAAAGTGACTTTTTAAATCAAATAAGAAACTGTTTCTCCACTACAGGTACTGTTCTTGCAGCTTCGTTTATGCTTTGTTAAGTTTGGAAGCAAGAACAGAAATTCCACATGAGAAACTTAAGTATGTGAATTAAAACAGATGTGGAACCCTTTAATAAAAGCAGCCGGAAACAATTTTAACAGCTCCCCCGGCCGCCCCCCCCCCCCCCGCCAAGAGAATGGAAACCAAGTCAAGCATATTTTAGATGTGTTATACTTAATAGAAAAATGGAATTTGAGTATGTATTTTACCTCGATAGGCTGAGGATCATTAAGATGAGCACTGAGATCCATCAAGAGCTGTGGCATCCAGGTAGGTACATCATAAGGACTTGACAAAATACATGCACTAAGTCCTAGCACACCAGCATGGCGTTTAACCAAATCTGCAATTGAAATATATGAACTTATATTTGACAAGGTACAAATATCCTAACACATACCTCAATGACGCAGCTAAACTTAAAGTTGATATCAGTGAAAATAAAGCTATTCCTCATTAATGGAAATGACTGAAAAGGGCCTATATATTAAAAAAGATCAAATTAGTATACAGCATACTGATACCAATATTAAGTTCTGACCCTGAAATTAGAAACCAATCCACTACAGTACAGAGATCTCTAGGTTCTATAGGAAGCCAAATAGTTCTACAGACCAAATAGTCACAAATCAATTCACAAAAGTATCTTAATCTCCAAATTGCTTCTGCTTTCTTGCATCTTTATTTTTTAATGGAATAATGTGTAAAAAATAAACTCCAAAAAATAATCTACAACTACTTTATAAGCTTTATAAACATTTAAAGTGAGAGTCTCTCAAAGAATCTAAGTATCTATACAGTAAACCTCTCAAGAACTACATGCACACTGTTTCTTGTTTTTATGTTCAGAAAGTTCCCCGAAATGCTGGAATTACTTGACGATCTGGAAACCCAGTCCCAATGTGACCCAGACATACTAAGTGTTTAGTCAGAAAGTGTTTTTTTTTTTTTTTTAAAAAAAAAAGACACACACAAAACCCACATTCTTAGTAAACAGAAGGTGGAGTGGGCGAGGTGTGAAATTATGTTGACACAGCTAAGGAAATCATTTACTGAGGAAATAGCTACCATCCCCTTTTCATAAGTCTCTTCACTCTCAGGCAGTCAGCCCAACCAAGTCAAAAGTGGCCTGAACAGCTTCTAATTGGAAAGCATATAAAAGAGCACTGCTGTAGTCAGAGCCAGACCAAAAAAAAAAAAAAAAGAGCCAAGCAACACATGAAGTATGCTCTAGTTCCATTCAAGGTACTTCAAGGTACAGAGTGTCCAGGCCTTACTGAAAATGCAGTCTTGTCAAATGATGATCTTTGGCTGATATGGCATTGCCCTACACATTATTGCTATAAGCTACAAAACATAGATCGATTTTTCAGGGCCTTGTTCTTCCTAAGGAAGAACTAAAAAGTCCTTGTTCGCATTTAAACTCAGTCTAAACTCATAAATTCAGGCTTTCTGAATCTTATTCTTTCAGAAGCCATTTTCACAGAACGGAAAAGAAAAACCTGCCACGATCACACAGGAACTTCATTTGGCAGTCTGATACAGGATACGTTCGTGGTGCAGTGGGAGGAGGGAAGTCTTCTGCTTCCATTCTCCCTTATCATGCTCTGTTATCAAACACATTCAGGAGGGCCACCTCTTAAGAAGTGCCCCATATTCTGCATTGAACTGGATCTACATGAACTGGGCACATGGGAAATGGACAAATCTCTTTAGTGCCGCAAAAGCAGTAAATTAATTTAACCTAGCATATGATTTACTTTTTTGGTAATAGTATATTCTCATTCATCATTTACGCTATAAAACGTCGCAGAGCACTTAACAAGGATTAGGATTTGCACTTCACACACAGAAAGACACAGTGAAGTCCATAAGGACAAGTGATTTGCCATTATGGTTTATGAATACTCATGAAGGAAAAGAACATTTGCATGGGCAACAAGCCTTGTGTTTCTCTGGGCAAATACTAGTTTTCTAAATACTGCTTAACCATAGGACATATCCTACTCCATCTGGAACGCTGGCAGAATAAGCGCTGAAGCGTAGCATGAAATATTTGTGTCTTTCCTAAACTGCTCTTGAAACGCATGATTTTAGTCTCTGAAGCCATTTTCTTACCACCAGAAGGAATGGTATCCACCACTGAACCCAGGTCTCGCTTTCTTTTTTTTGGTAACCTCATTTTGCACAGCTGTTCAAAATGGGTCTGCATTGGACCATCCATAGTAAGGAAATTACACTGTAGCAAACCACTTAGTGTGGTAGCAGCCATTTCTCTCACCTGTGAGCAGAGATAGTACATACTACAATTAGTCAGTAAACACACACAGCAGACAACAGACACTTGTGTTACTACTGTCCTTTTTAAGCACATCTGGTCAGGCCAAGTTACCAAACTCTGCTCAAGAAAAATCTTTCACGTTTCATCCTGTTATCTCACAGGTCATACAATACACCACCATCGCTTACTATAGGACTCTTCACAAATTAAACATAATTCTACTGCAACATAGAATACCTTTACATAGTTTGTCTACCTTTACATAGTTTGTCAGAAAAGGTGACCTCTTACTAGAGCAAATGCAATTTGACTCCATTGTCAAGAAATGTTTATCATGAACTAGACTATTTTAGAAAGTTCAAAAATAGACTCTGAATGAAAGCAAGATGCATCATGCTAAGCAATCAATCTGCTTTACAAAGTTAATAATAGTATCTGTATTAACATTTGTTTGTCAAGCAAAAAAATGGATACTTTACACAAAAGCACTTAGTTCCCCCCCGCCCAGATGTATGTGGAAACATTAGAATTGACAAAAGCAGAAGCGCCTTCAAGAGAAGGCAGGAGTTACGCTCATGAGACGTTATCCAAGCTGATTCTGTTCTCCTCGTAACACAAGAGTTCTTTGCGGGACATAACTGACACTGGAGTACTAAGCAATAACAACTAGCTTCAGAAGTTCATAGTCAACAATTCAATTCTATAATGCACCAGCATTTACCTTGTTGCCTTGAGTACCAGTTGCTTCACTATGAGTAAAAACAGGATTACAAGCTGGGAAAAAACATTGCTCTCTTCAGTAATGCAGAAGCCAAAAAGAACGAGACTAAAATCAATTTTCATCTAACTGCTAATCCATTCAAAGTATAGATTTCCTTTTCCATTCCTTTTTGAACGAACAGAACATGTTTTTTTTAGTGAATTACAAGGAGACATTGCTCCTCATTGCTTTCAAAAGCAAGCACTGCCTATCAGTATTACTAATTCACCTCATCAACTCAAATCTCCCCAGACCATAAAGTTACAGAACTGGAAGATCATATTTAAATTTCAGTCCCTCAAACTCACTTGCACTTAAAATATTTACAGGCTGACAGAAACACCCTAACTTTTACAAACTTGAAAATCACAGGAACTTGCTAAAACGTTGGCAGCGGTTGCCAGATTTATCAGTAAGTACATACTGCTACACGGCACTGTACACAGAACGTTTGTCTAGCTAGAGTACAAACACCTACCAACGCTCTGAATCCAATGTAGCAGATTACAATAAATTATATCCTCGAACATAATGTTCTCAACCTCCACATAGCAATAAGTATAGCTGCAAGTGCTGCAATAATTAAACATAGTAAGTTAACAGTAAGCTCTTGAGACTTCACTTCATTCCATTTACATTTCCACAACATATTTCAAACGTGATCTACTTTTACATTGATAGTGTAAAGAAGCATGAAGTAAAAGTCCGCCAGTGGTGTTTACCAGCGATGGGTGAGCCTCTTAAGAGCTAAGCTATTAAATGAAACATGATATGCTAATACAAGACCCAGAATAGAAAGCAGCTTAGCTGTAAAGTGAGCAAGCTCCCAAATGAACTATAGTCATTTGCATCACTATTCGCTCTATTAAAACCACTTTCATTGCTAAATTAATAACCTAACTGAGAGGTACACTTTGCGGCATGGAGCACCTAGAAGCAATCGTACATTAACAGGCTAATCATGAATCATGACATCTCGCCAACAACATCAGTGGATTGTTTCTTTATTTCCATTTTTTTACATCATTAAACAATATACAAACTAAAAAAAAAAAAATTAGAACAAAAAGTTATATAAACAAGATGGAAAACACTCAGCAGCACAAGAAAACCAGTGCAGTCCTCGCAAGGGACTACTAATATAAGAAAATAGTCACTGTAATATTGCAGTGTCATAGGCAAAATGCTTATCAAGACATATGAATGCTATATATTCAATACACTGAATTAAAATGGGTCAACATAAGAAGCTCCTAACCAGATAGCTTTCTTGATCAAATTATGGCTGAGAAAATTGTAAATAAATAAAATAAAAATACAAAAAAGCTTTCATATTAATTTGGCCACCACTTTAAACAAATTCAGCAACAATTTAAAAAGTACCTCTACGCAAAGTCAGTCTTCTTTCGATTTTTGTAGGCTTTATGACTACAACAGATCATTCATGACTCAATTTCTGTTGTAATTGAATGTTTAAGCACTAACACCTGTAGGTCTTTTTTTTTTTTTTTTTTTTAAAACCTCTGAAGTCTTTAAATAAGCTTAGTATGTCTTTCCAAATAGCTTACTTAATCTGTAACCTATCACATCCCACAGGGAGATGATCCTATGGCAATTTATACTTTCTACATCATATTTACAACAATTAAATTTTTACCAGTTTTTACTTGTGTAGCTTAAATCAGAAAGAGTTCTGAAGCAACAAGGTATACTGTCTCTGCATGGAAGCTGAAGGGAATACAGCCACTTTCACTTTTCTTCCACTTCAGACTGAATAAATAGAACTCTCTATATGCTTTCCCCAACCTCAAATCATTCTTGCAGCTCTTTCCAACAACCTACATGACATGAAAACTAGACACGACGTTCAGCAGTGGCTATACTGCTGTACACAGGAACAATAAAATTTTTCCAGACTGGATAATTTCTCCCTCCCCCAGCTGCAGGATCACATTGGCTCTTACAGCCACAGTCCTCAGCCAGAGGACATCAGGTCCATGGCAGCCCATTGCCTCGCAGAATGAGAATCTCCCACACCACCATCTAGCTTTAATACAGTATTCTTTCATCCCAGATATTTAAGTTTGAAACTAGATACATGAAATCTGCATTCAATAGAAGCCACACAGTCTTATGACCCACGTTCACCTCGTATTACTGTCATATTGCTATTTGACATTCAACGTGGTCATCTGACATTGTCATTTGCCAAGGTTCTTTACAATGATTTTAGGCAGAAAATATGAAATCATCAGGAAGGTCAAGAACTGTAATTTTTGAAATATTAGAAATGTCAGCTGTGTATTGAAGAAAAGAACAAGATGAGCAGAGTCATCAGGTTTGACACTTTTCATCAAAACAAGCCAAAAAAAAAAAAAAAAGCTTTAAAACTAAGAATCAAAATTAAAAGTTTCACAGAATAAGGAAAGATACCAGGCACTTACTTAAAGCTAGGGTTTTCTACTGAAATCAGAGTCATCTTAAAAATTCAGCATAAAAAAGGTCCTATCAGAATTGCTCAGACTGCATCTTGCCAATTATCATCAAGAATGAACAAAATTACTTTTCTCTGAAAAGTGAAAGCTTCCATGGTAACAACGTTATCGTAAGTGATTATGAACGCTGATAAGCCTTTTTTGATTTGCATCTCTGTACTTCAAAGAAATAATTTTGTACATCTGAAATAACTGGTAAATCATATTAAAGCGAATAAAAGGTATTTTTCAAAATCACAGGAGATTATGAAAGAAGTGTGAACAACAACATAGCCAGGGTTATCAGCTTCTGTTTTCCACCTCAGTATAGCAAATAACGACAGGGAAGACAAAGAAATTGGCGTGGTTGGTCAGTAGTCTAAACGCTGTTCTTTACTTGTATAGAATTTGTAACGTCAAACTTTTAAATCTATAAATTCATTCATGCATTCAAGTTACTTGCAATTCACTTTTTATAAAGAGCAAGCTTCAAATCTCAGGTTTACCGGCTATTTTAAATGTAATTTCAAGAAAAACTAAAACAACATCTTGCTTTTGGTAGAAGAATATCACACTTCAGAATCTTCTTTCTTCTAGAAAGAAAAAACCACTCAAACTACTAAACATTTAATTGTATTATTAAAAGACTCTTAACGTAAAAATAGGATGCCGCTGATATTTGCCAACAGCACAAAGAACAGTAAAAATGGTGGTGGGGGGGGGAGAAATGGGGCAGACGGGAGGTTAACAATAAGGATTCTTCACAGTGCTTGAACATGATCAAACACACTCAAATTCATGTCATTTAATACAAGCCCTTGTCAGTTCTGAGAGTTACCGATAGAAAATGAAATATTTTTGTGATGTTTTAGAAATATGACGAAAAAGATGCAATGAGATTCGCACCAGGCACCCTTTTTTCTGAGGACTTGCTTGTGATCCTGATAGCTGTTCTAGCAGCATAACGTGCATTCATACACGGCAGATTTTCAACAGCACGCATGTACCACAGCCACGATTTAGGGTTTTGTCTCCTTCCATTTGTATAAACTGGAGTACCTCTAGGCTCAGGAGACTCGTCAGTCCTATGAGTTTTTGTAAGCTTAGAAATTATTTCTTTTTTAGTCAAGTAACATTATCAATAACAGCATCTGTTAGACAAATTCTGTTCTATTATGCACGCAACTTTTGCCACATTGTAGAAAATCTACTTGTTATAACTGAAGAAATGTTTCCTAGTGAGTGGGAGGTATACAGAATGCATTTTTTATCACGAACTAGCTGACACAATTATATGGCAAGCAGACCTCTAGAGTAATAAACAGTGGGTTTATAGAATTTTCATGTTATGACATTTTACCTTGCTGAAAGCTGAACTTCCTACTGATATCCGTGCTAATATTTGCAGTTTAATGATAATATCCCTATTTCAGCTGTACTTAAAACAAGAAACAATGAAACAGAGCAATATTCAATTCAGCTGAAAAAGCAGAAACAAAGGAACTTTTGGTATCATTTCATTACTATAGATCACAAATGAAATATTTTCCGAATAGCTGTTTTCCTCTCAAAAATGAAATATTAAAAAAAAATAATCCTATAAAGTTAGTTATATATTCAAAATAGGAAGAATGCTAAGCTACAAATGCATATTGTATTAAATTTACAACTGGTAGGGTTTTTCATAAATCTTGGCAAGGGCAAGAAACCACTCATGTGAAAGTAAGCATACCACATCTGACTTCGTTTTTTCCACTAGCAGTAAGATTCCACGAGAAAAGAGATTACTTACCTCAAGCTGTTCGTCTTCCAGGAGTTTTATTACCAGCCATCTAATGTCATTGACTGCTTCTTCATTGTTGAGAAAAATAAAGAGATTGTAGAACACCATGGTCTGGAGGTAGGTCAATATGGTATATCTGGCATGCCAAGAATTGCTTCTTGCTGTCTACAAGTAAAAAATACATAATAAGTATTAAAAAGTAAGGATATGAAGAAAAGCAGCTACTTGATTTAAAGCTAATGATATTAGCAAGCTTTTGGGGATAGTAGCAGATAAAATAAGTTTCCCCCCATTCAGTTATTTTTGTTTCATACATTCCTTATTTCCAAAGCATACAAACATTTAAAGAGGAACAGATATCTAATACTGTACAAGATAAATTAAGCAAGTCCCTCCTTTTGATTCATTCCAGAGATCAGTCATTAGATAGATATACATAAACCAGAAATTTTGTTCTCCTTGAGTATATATATATTCTACAGAGCAGATATGGAAAGCAATGATTTTGCAAGTCTCTAGTTTCATCTCCATGTGCTTATGCAGGTCCAAACTACCGAAGGTGTCAGGAGTGGGTGCAGCCTGGATTACAACATTGCCGCTCCTATTTTCATTGTATGTAGAGCTTACACCAACTTCTAGCAAAAGGTGATTTTGCTACTGTAGATCAGTTTGGAATGACTAAAGGAAAAGAGTGGATTGCTTTAATGGTTTATTCTGCATACAGTTTGTTTTCATGCAAGTCAAGAGTGCATTTTCATTTGTGCTGTTTTTCAGAAAGTAGAAGTTGATAAAAATACTGTAAAATTATAAAAAAGGCAGAGACTCAAGGGCCGTTAACTCACATGAACTACATGTTAATTCATTTTGAAAATGGATTTCGAATTGATAGTACTCACGAAGCTACATATTTGGCTTAAACTGATTCACTGCTGAATCAAATTTTAATTTCTTAAAATACAGTTTATCCTTTTAACAAGAGAGAAGTTTGGAAGTGGGAAACAAAACAAAATACATCTATTGCAAAGTTATGTTTGTAAGCATGTTATACAACATTTCTAATATACTTTCTCCTTTCATCTGGAAGGAAACCACTATCAGATTCCCTTCAATTCACAACTATAATGTAATCTGAAAAAAAGCACAGCATGCATCAGATAACAAGAAGTTATTTGGACCAGACTCACTTGTTTTAGCACCTGAAGTACCAAAGGCACTTGCTGAGGATACAGCAAACCCTGAGACATTAACGACAGACACATCTTAGCATCTCTCTTGAGCTCATCATAGCTATTGTCATTTTCTACCGGTGCAATCTACAGAACAAGATCGGAGAGGGGAGAAAGCCAACAGCTAAAGTTAGTAAATAAGCATTGCTAAAAGAAAAATCCTGAAAGAAAACTGTCCCTTAATGAGATTAATAACAATAATGTTGAAACAGTCTCAACAATAAAAGCCATTGAATAAGTGGAATGAATCAAGAATTCCCTTTCATTTTGGAGAAAGGGCATCCAGTAGAGTTAGGCATTTTTGTATGGTACCATATTGCACTTAATTAATCTTTAGCTAGTCTAAAGTCTTAAGGAGGATTAAATGGGTGCCATTAAGGCTCCAGTTCCACATGGCAACGTTTTTGGTGGCAGACCTAGTTCATTAATATTTTAGATACGGATCCAAAATTGAGTTGAAGCTGTATTACTATTTCACTTTCAAGTAAGCAAATTTTTTCTTAATTTTGGGGGAACGCTTATAAACATCAGTCAATTAGCCAACAGTAATATAAAGTGAGATTATTTCAGATGTATAGCACTGAAGACACCTCCCCCCCAAGCCTGCCTTTAGAAAATATCCCTGAAAATTTGTTCCTTACATCAAATTCACACTTTGGGGGCAAAATATTAACTGGTCCCTTTTGAGTGCAAGGTAAATGACCCAACTTCACAAAAGAATACAAGGATTAGAGGTGCCAAGAAAAATATAAGAGTAGAAGTACCATTTAGAAGAATTGTCCAACTACGGAACAAAATAAAAAAAACTAGAGATAATTATCAAAACAGAAACAACATGAGGCACTTCTTCACAAGTTAAATAGTCTTTTCCCCACAACTTTTACAAACACACAGGACATACTCATCTAAAAGTCATTATTTTCAGGGAACCATGCAACAACCTAGATTACCAGCTGTAAAGTTACATAAGCATAAAAACGTTTGAGCCTCCTCAGCATACGTATTTTTGTTGTCATTATTGGTTTCCTTTTTATTTAAAGAGTCCCTTATAATTTTGATTTATATGTAGAACCACTTCCTAATCAAACACGACCAATAGAGCAGCAATTAAAACGGATACCTTGAAAAATAATGGTAAAAGTTGGAGTTGCTCTGTGACAGCTGTAGAAAAGGACCGTCCTGCACTTGCCATCAACCACTTCAGAACTGTTTTATAACAGAGAAATGGTCACTCAGTAAGTTAATCCAAAAAAGAGGAAGAAAAAAAAAAAAGGCCACCCAACAACACCCACCCACAAACAAAAAAACCCTCAAAAAGTTATAGACCAAATTCATGGCAAGACTAGCCTGGAATTTTTCACAAACATCAGAGTGGATCTATACCAGCTGTTAAGTTTAACCCTGTATTCAAATGTTAAGCCTCACATTCTTAGCTGCCTTTTAACCAGTACTGTATCACCTCCACTTTATAAAGTTCAAACATAGAACAGCAGATCTCTTTGTTACAGCAGAGATCCAAGAGGGAAAATTTTGTACTGCAACTATATTATCTGCAGTCCTCAATCATCATGTCCTAACATACTCTGTTTCTTAACCTCACTAGACAACTCACTAGTTTTCAGGAGTTTGATGCCCTGAGTTCGCTCATCTTGATCACCAATTCCATTTTCTTCCATAACATGATTCTGAATTTCTTCATCTGCTTCCATAAGGGGTTTAAGATTTTCAAGTATCCGGGTAGTAAATTCATGGACACGAGGAGACTTAGTTGCAGCAGTATTTGGCAAGGAGACATCTATCATGAATATGTAGGTCAAAACACTAAAGAAGAAAAAAACCACAAACACAAAAAAAAAAAGTCATACAGCCATATAGTTAACATGACCACAGTTTAGAGAACATAACTAAGTGGTCAGTTTGCTAAACTTCATAGTTCAATGCTTCTAGAATAAATTTCCCCTTAAAGTTATTTAAAAATAAAATGTTTTCCAGATATCCTCTATATAGATATTTGAATCAAGCAGAGATAGATAATAGACAGTCAGTAATCTACAACCCTCCCCCTGACCCCAGCAACAGACCTGCAACTAGTTTTTAAAGTTACTAAAAAGTTTTTTTTTTTTTTTTTTAAAAAGTAGTCACTGTATATTTATGGCTTTATTAGAGCTTAGGCGCAGTAAATTTGTTTTTAGAGCTTTACATATCTCAAATGTGAAAATGACAGGCCACATACAATAAAAGACAAAAACAAAGAAGCTGTTAGAAGCCCCTGAAGCAAATCTGCTAACAACAATTTATATTGCTTCTATTAAGCTGCGTTCACACACGGAGGTAAACAGTAACCTTACGGATATTCAATTACCCAAACACAATGAGCAGAGAAATCAAGAACTGCAGAAGAGAACACTGACCTTCCTATCCTCTCTCTGACGTTTTTGTAAACCTGCGTGAGTTTAGGTTCCAAATACTTCAGCAGTCTGTGCAACAGTTCCGGTACTCTCCATTCTTGTTGTGCAAGGCCACCTTGCAGTACATAAAGTCGGCTACAAATCAGAACAGAGCATTTGTAGTCATGTCAAACTGCTCCTCCCTTCCTCCACCCTCTCAAAGCCTTTTTTTTCAATATTTTGTGTGTCAATGCAAAGTGTCTCTGCATGAAATGCACACAAAGATAGGTAAAAATTACAAAATGGAACAGTACTGCCGCTATGCTAGTACCAAACCTTCCCAAGATTCCATTAATTGGATTCAATTACATTAAATTAAAAAAAAAAGAAAGAAAGAAAGAAAGAAAGAAAGAAGGAACTGCCACTGTCTGTGGCCCAATAATTGGAAAGGAGCCCTGCCTCTGCAGTCTGTCACAATATGCTCTCAATGTACTTTATCCATACTTTTATTTCCTTCTTTATTCAACCACAGTAAAACAGTTAAAATTCATTTTACCATGCATCTACAAATGATCCTCCTTCACCACTCAGTGGAGATTCCAACAGCAGTTCAAACAACCAATGCAGTTTCCGCGGATCTCTGCTCTCCTGAAAATATATAGGTATCAGAGATATAAAGCACGTCAGGGATTTTAATGTAAACAAATGTAAAGCAAGGAAGGTTTTGACAATGATTCTCTTTACATCTCTTGGGCTTATTTTATTACACAAGTTAAATGTCTTTCAAAATGAAGGTCAATATGAAAAACATACAATGAAGCCACACTTAAACAGGGTTTTAATTGTTCAGTAAATAACAGTGATAAGAATAGAAGCATTTTTAGCTTAACTTTTGACATATTTAAATAATCATTTATATCATGGAAGTTTTGTTAACTAATTGTCAGGGCTCCGGTTGACAAGTTATGCTGAACTTTGCTCAGAGACGTCAAAAAAATTACTGATCCAAGATATCTGCAGCCGCCTATCATTTACTCTGCTCCTCAGACACCACAATTCCCAGTCCACCACAGTGTGGAGAAGCCTTGAAGTATGTTAGGAGATAATACGGGACCTCAGTTTTCACAGCATATTGCTAAGATGTACACTTTTTTATGCAAGAATAAATGTGTAACGAAAAGCCTCCAAAAGACTGAACAATCACAAACACCTACTAAGCACACATTTTAACATCACATCACTAATCTTACGTGGCTTGTATAAAATACTCGGAAAGAAAATGAAGGTACATGTTTTATTTCCTTCCTAAAATGTTATATAAAAGTATCTGGAAAGGGTAGGAGAAAATAAAGTTTCTTAAAAAGTTGCAAGATTTAAAATAGATTGTTCTTATATTATATTTAACATTTTCAGTTTTATCTGAAAAAAATAGACCAAAATACCTCAACTCATAAAAAGTTATTTACCTATTATCTGTAAAGTTTGACCATCTCTATATAACTATTATGAACAAACAAGACTGAGAATAGAGCACTTACACAGGAGGTTGCTATGCACGTGCCCCAATCATTATACGTTTCCACTGTAATGTTGGATAAAGCTGTTCGAAGCAACGGGCAGAGAAGCTTCCAAAGCTTTTCCACCTGCTCAGCAAGAAAGCAAAATACAAAATTAGTTTATTCACGGATAAAGTGGCTGTTCAACGTCTATGAACCCAAATCCTCCAATCTTTCCAAAATATAGAAAAATAACATTGCTTCTGGAAGCAGATCTAGTATGATAGTTAGAAAAGGAAATAAATACCCAAGTTGATATTTCAGAAGTCATTTTAATTTTGTTTGCAAGGTGCTTGGAAATACTGTGGATTGAGTACGTACCATTTTCATGGGGATTTAAGTAAAATCCTATCAGTGAATGTAAATACTTTGCTTTTTATAGAATTCTTGCACACCTTCTCCACCTTACGTGGGTGTACCATTTTCTCAGCCCTTTCTGCTTCAGGCATTCTTATTCCAGGCTAGGTTGTCCAACGTTACTCCTGCCTCAAGGATCACATGCGCTGCTAGTCTCCCTCTCTCTATATTCAAACCCAGGATCAGGATGGCAAAATGTTTTTCAACAGACAAGATGGTCAAAATGCAATCTTGTATCCAGCTATCGTTAAACCTGAGCATATGATTTTATTTGAGGAGTGTTTGGGGAATATACTTTGTACGAAGAATTAGTCAATGGCCGCTGTCTCACAGGCAGCGACGAGCATCAGGGCAGAGTGAAATGGTCAGCCACCAAAGCCTCAGAAGAGGCAGTTCGTTCTCAGCCCCAAAAGTCAATTTGCTTGTTTAACTCCATATAAATAGTCCCTTGTAGCCAGTTACTGCAGCATCAACTCCAGCTCCGAGTTTCCTGTAGTGTTTCATAAACCTTAACGCTTCCTACTATCACGTATAAAACCATAGCAAGAAAGCCCAATGCAACTTCTCTTGTTGAAACGTAACCTTACATTTCTCTTTTAAACACTCAGAAACATACTACATACACAAGGGAACACCATCTTTTTTACTTAAAACAATCCATTTAGCTGGACATTATTTCTTATCCAAGTTCCCATAGTGTAACTAATTTCTGACTTTCAATGTCCTGGGGTTTTTTCTTCAGGGAACAGAAATACTTAAGATGGTTAAATCTGTAACTACAGGTATTTCACTGACAGACAACGTTAACGTAAGGTTATACAGAGCTGTCACGGAAAGCATATCGTAAAGAAGCCAATTTCTTTGTACGAACCTATTCAATATCATAAACAAATGCAGAGAGGAAAAGAAAATACATAAGCTCAACTTTCAGATCTGAGACAGTTCAGAGGATTTGAAATTAATAAGTACACCACAGTACAGAAAATTAATAAAACTTTGTTTAAAGAATTACTTTTCAGCATAAAAGTGCATTTAAAGCTAATCTAGACATCTAGGTCCAGATTAAATACAGACATAGCAGTCTGAAGTACACTTGGGCACTTATTCCAATCAGAAAATTCTAAATCACAATTAAGAAGTACTTTCCCTCAGCATTTCCTACTAGCTAGCTTTGCTATCCTTACTAGTGAACTGTTGTTCTCAGTTTCATTCTGCAGCATTTTACTACCGCCAAGCATTAAAAATACACCAAACCTTGAATTGTACTCAAAGCTTGGCAACGAAGCATTAAACACTGCAACCTGTCCTTTCTTGGACAACACAATGAAAGCCCTCAACTTCATAGGTTTACGTGTGTTTAGTAATTCAAACTTATTCCTTAACTTTCATAAATCACCCAAAAATACTACTTCAGCACCTTCTCGAATGTCCAGTGCTTAGAGCCTCTTATTAAGCCAGCTATAATTTCAGCTACACATCGCTGGGTACTTTCATGGGAGTCTGATACAAGGCGTTCCAAATGCGGCCGAAGAACCGGCAGGAAGGCATCATCAAAGTTTCTGAAAAGGCCCTACAAAACAAGAAGTGAAAGTGTCTTCAGTAGATATTTTCTTTGCAAGAGAAACATAAGATTGCAAAGCATTTTGGATTTGAACGCGCAGAAAATAAAATTAGTTTGCTTTTGTAATGGAAATATACCCAAGTGTCCACAGAAGAAAGTGGTTAATGGAACTAATCATAGCAGCACACCTTCAAATCAGTATTTAGCAACAGTGAGGCATAAGCCAAGAACTGTGTGGCTTCTCCACACTGACTCGATAATTATCTACCAAAAAGGAAACAATATAGCTGTTGAAACGTAGTTACCTTGAAGAGGCAAAATCTGCGAGGATTAAATTTGTCTTTTCCTTTTCTGTCTTCTAACGATAGAAACTTTATTAACTGCTCAACAAACTTGGGATCAGAGAAGTGATCGTATATTATCTGCTCTGCCTGTAGAAGAAATACAGGGATTAGCTTTGAGGTGCTTAATTACGACAGTGATATCCCAGTCTTTCCAAGTGTCATTTTCATTTTACTCCTATTTTTGGCAGAAATTACGCCTAGATTATCCATTTTTCCTCTCATTCCAGAACAAGCACTAGCTAATATTTTCAAGTCACCTGATTTTTACTTCCTTTAATGACTTTGGATTGCCTTTCCTTTCATTAACATAGTCCCAACAGAGAGGCTATTCCCATTGTCATTAGTTACTTCGTTCCAACTCCGATAAAGATTTGAAAGGGATCAAAAAAGTGCTCATTAGCGCAATTATTCCACGATCATTGACAGTGATGCTGCAAGGCATTGAAATAATCTCTTTTTCTTGTATACTAACACCATAAGTATGGAAATAAGTAGAAAAACATTACAGAAAATTGTCTTTTGGGGATCCTGGTTTCAGAGTAATTGTCACCTATTGCTTACTAAGAATGTAATAACATCCGCACTGACACGACACTATGTAGTTGAGTTCAATCTCCAGCTTGATTTGCAATCAAGCAAAATGTGTTTCCACACATTTTATGCAACCACTCTCCAAACAGCAGGCAATAGTTAGGTTAGAAGAGAGAGACAGGAACTGCTAACTCCACGGTAAACTGTGGACAATATTTAAAAGAAAAGTAAAAGGATAAGTATGGAGCAAAAAACTTTGAAAACCCTTACCTCTGTCAGCTCATCTCTCCTCCGTCCAAGCTTTGGTTGCTGCTCAACTGGAGCATAAACTGTCATAGTTCTGAACATTAAAAGAAATGTCCCAAAGCAAAATAAAGCTTAATGATAATTTTTTGTACCCTCTATATTAAATAGGCTTTAACAATTCCTAAACAGCAAAACTTAAAAGCAAATTTTCAATGTAAAAACTTCTGAAGTATACTATTATAAAGATATTACTACAGCAAAAAATCCAGAATTGTTGGTGATAGAACACTACGTATATTTTGCAACTAATTAGTTTTTATGCATGCATTTTTCATTTTAAACCAGTGTGTGATTTTTAACAGAAGCAGTTAAGTAGCCAAATTTTAAAAGTACTTATAGTGCCCACAAAACCTAAAGACAGACAGGTAGAAACTAAGCAGTAATTACCCAGAAGCAGAAGTGCTAAAACATGCAAGGAGCACAAAGGAAAAAGTAAATTATATTTTACATCTTTGATTCAAAAAAACAGTTTAAACCTAACAAACATTATTTACGTTCTCACAATTTTTTGTCCTCCCAATTTTTACAATTCCACCCCAACGCCCACTCCTTAACACTACTCACTGAGGCCACGTGTAATATCCCCAATGCGTTTTCTCCACAAAATAACACGACTCCCAAGCTTCCTTAGTCTTTGGTAAACTCTGACTGTCATAGTGCAGCCACTGATTATCCAGTCTGTCACCAGCATGAATTCTGGAAGGCTTAGGGTTTCCACCTAGTTAAAGAGGAATTTTACGTTCCGTCAAACTTGTTCACTGGGAGTCCTGGCAAATGTTACAACTTACTTTTAATAAAAGATATAATAAGCTTTTAGGTCATTGATAAGACATCTTTCCCATCAAGTGTACACCAAGATGGGTCATTAAACTTTTAATTGGAAAGGTGACTCTACTAATTTGGAAAGGGAGTTTTTATCATCATGTTAGAAACGGTATTAAGAAAGCCTTAACTTCACTCTACGAATGTTGACCGCTGAACTCTGCAGAGGATGAAAAGCAAAGCCTTCATCTGGCTGGAACATGCAAATCCACTGGGCTCAGCTCTGAACCATGCTTTGGAAAGGCTTGTCTTCATGCGAGACCAGGCTTTAGATTCAATTTAGTTTTTGTTATAACCGGAGTCATTCAGTTAGCTTGTAAACTGAGCTGGCTAATGAACAATGAAAGTTTAAGAAACATCTCCAACTGCAGTTGTATCATTACAGGTTTTAGTCCAGAAGGAAGGCTTACATCTCAAATTTGCTCAAGTGTTTGGTTCAGAAAAAACATTACTTCAAATGCTTCTTACAACGCTGCCTGCTCTCCAGCAATTCTGGTGAGGTAGGGTGTAAAAAACTATTTTTCTTAACTTGATTTTGAGAAGATCCAATACAGAAGTGATGAGGACTAGCTGTATCTTATTTCATCTCCTGAGTACGGTGTACCAGTATTTATCCGTTTCTTAAATGAATGGGGTTATAAGAACAGTACTAACGCAAAAGCTAAAACCAAAAAAAGAATCTAAGAACACCAAGAATTTAAGACTTATGGGAACTCCTCAGCACTGGTAAAAAGCAATAACACAAATATACTGAAATTCCATAATGGAAGTAGAGATCAGAATGATAAGACTGTTCAAAGAACCGGTAAAATTTCTGCCTATACCTATTACACTACAAGCACAAGGAGAAAGTTTCTCGAGTTTTGAGTCAACATTTTTATATTTACTGAATATTTTGAACGGGGCTTTTTGCACTACTGGTTCATAGAGCTCACAACATTAAGAGATTTAAAGTAACACTGACAGAAGAAGAAGAGAGATTCCTTTATTAGTTTTATATAAACGTGCTGTAAGAAATGATGAAAAAAAATGAATAAAGAGGAGGCATATAAAAACATCTTACAAGTTACAAGGCTTCCTGAAAGGAGAATGACCATGGCCGTGTCTCTGAAGTTTTTCCACACAGTACAAACAAGTGAATAGCTTAATACACATTTGCAAGTCCAACACTGGTTTAAAAATAACTATTCTGACCCTACTACCTACTTTGTTTGCTTAAAACATTAAAATAAATGAAAAGTTTGTGATTCTACGCTTAACTTAACAAAAAAAAAACATTTTTTTTTTAAATTGTCAGTAAAAGATTTATTTAAAATAAAACTTACTAATTTCATAAGGGCAGATGGGCACTTTCTTGTGTGTTCTCTTAAGTTGCTTGAGGATACCAGCCACTGCAGAGATGGCCACCTAAAAAAAAGAACTGGAGATTAATTTATCCTTTCCTTCCATTTATCACCACACAAGGATGTGTCTACTCATCTGATCATGGACACGTTAAGCAACGAACTCAGAGATCCACAGGAAGCCAATGAACATTACAGGGAATTTTGTCACATCAGTGGCTGATGCTTTCCATAAAGCAGTAAACTTAGTCATTTCAGGGGATACAAGATAAGAATTAACTGTCTTCTTTATAGACCAGAAAAACCTGCCCACTAATCGTTTTCAAGGGAAAAAAAAGAGGTGGCCATTACTTTCAAACCTCACTGAGGAGAAAAGTAAAATGAAAGCTATAAATATAAAGCAGTGGTGGATTCCTTCCGAGTAATAATCTGCAGATGGACAAAAATCCCTGTAAATGAAATTCCATAAGAGAATCATGAAGTTAAAAAGAACGAACAGCTAAGTTCCATGCTTTTGCACTTTACAGACTTTACATCATATATTATGGCTACAGCACTGTCAAGACTGTCACCTTCTTGAAGCAGGAACTTTTATGCGTATATGTGGCTGAAGGGGTGGGGAGGGATGCGTTCCCTCATCTAGTCAGTTTTGTCACAGCAAGACAACAAACACCTGATCTAAAACCCAAGCAGCTGAAAAACAGAAGACGTAATTATGTTGTCTTTACCTTACGAACTACAATTGCATCATGGTTGAGACACTGCACAAAAAATCTTATGGCACGGACAGGCAGTACCCTATCATCCCTCAGGAGCAGAGACAGAAAGCCAATACTTATGTGCTCGAACTTCCAAGGACTACAAATCAAAACAGAAAATAAGTAGCAGATAGTTGCATGTACTGCTTTTGCACAGAAATGATTATACAGTTTATAATTATGTAAATATATTTGGACTGACATAAGTAATGTTCTATACCACTGCTATATTCAATGGGCCTAACTGTTGGTTAGGGAAGTCTCCAATGTTCTAGGAACACCCAAGTGCACTCCCGCTTACACCCAGTTGAAGTGTCAAGATCGGAAAGGTATCGTTAATGTGAAATAGAGACCTAGAGAGATGATCTTTTAGACTATAACACAAATACTATGCCACCAATTAAAACCTACTTGGATGTCAATGTTATGCACCCAGAAACAGAGCTTCCCCACCACCCCCCGCCCCCGGAATGAACAGACACATATATATCTTAAAAAAAAAAAAAAGAGTCAAACTAGTTAACAGCAAAGTTAAACTCCAAGACATGATACCTGACATTAACAAATCTAGTTCCCAATGAGAAGTTTAAGACTCATTCAGTTCTCTACCTGGGAGACAATAATGCAAGATTCTCTTACATTGACCTGTATCTTCCTGTTTGGGCAAGTGGAAGTCATATGCAAATGCACATAGACACAGAAATACAATTCACGCAGATATCTTTGCAAAAAAAACTTACCAAGTTGGTCACAATAAATAAGCTGTCTCATCTTTACATAAGATTGCTCCTGACAAACCGCATTTGAACAACTGCCTCAGGAATGAAAAATATCATTCAATTCCAGTCATGTTAACTACACTTCTTAATGTGAGTGATGTTTATTCATCTAGCCACCTCCAATTCACCTAAAGGAAAAATTCTCACATACAGAAACACAGACTTACAGATTTCTTTGTTCCACACAGTCCAAAAGCCTGTTGACCAAATTTTCATAGTGTCTGGAGGAAAAAGAGAATCATCAACTAGATGCTATTGGGAGAACCATCTAAACATAGATTAGAACTTCCTCAATAAAAGTGGGTCAACGTGATACAGTAAACAATAACTGGGAGGACAAGGAGGAGCAGGAAAGAAATACGAGTATAGAGGAGAGGCTACTGAGTCAGGAGAGAAAAATACACCACATGAACTTGTCTAGCTTAGGATTTAGTTCAGCAATATGGGATTACTACGTTTAGCATACACTAAGCATTAGGTAGTATAAACTGGCAGTCAGTGACGTTTAACTTACCGCAGAGCTTCAGTGCTCTTTTCTTTCTGCCGCTGAATTCCTAATTGAATTTCTTCTGAACAAAGCACCGTCAAGTTTGAACTTGGATGTTCTGATTTTTGCAGCAAAACAGCTATCTCAACACACTGCTCTGGAATCTATTGACAGAGAAGGTATATATTTTGGACTGAGCAGCAACTTACAAATTTGTTTCTGCTTTGAAATAAGGAGGACTTGGAGGAGGACATATGAAGAGTACAGAATTTCCTGTTCACAGAAATGTAAATCAGATTTCATTTATACTATGCAGAAGTCCCCGAATAAGTAAGGAAGAATGCTTTTCTGCTCACAAAGAATAATCATTTCTCCAAGTACATGTTTTATTCTATTTTAAAATAGATAGAATATTTTTATTAAAAGATTTAAAAAGTTTATAAAATATTTTTATTAGTTGGCATTAATTCTTAAAAATAAGTACCATGACATTTAACAAGCTGATTAGACAAGAGACAGTTGTACAAACAGCTTTCTACAGGGGACAACAGCTACAAACAGTGATAACATTAGCTTGACGATACTGTCCTATCAACACACATCATCACACTTGCGCAGCAAGAACGATACTAATTAGCATTGAAATAGAATTTGAGCTTCCTTTGCATAACTGGTTTCCTCAGAAGTTAAAAAAGTTACAAGTTCCAACAATGCTATAGGAAGCTGTATTTTTGAAACTGAAGTAATAGAGTCTACATTCCTACACAACAGAATTTAGAATGGGATCAACATCAGAAGTCTAACTCCTCAAGTAATATAAGCGAGTCTCAAGCGTTTATTTAACTAAATTTACTCAGAATTCAAAACAGTAACTCTAAGCAATCTGTCACTTACTGCAAAATCCAATCCAATTGTTTCATACTGTCTATGGATTTTTTCTGCTAGGTCATCAAAGAGTCTAACTATTGACGGTTTTTCCAGGGACATGGCTTTGCTAAGCCCAGAAGAAACAATTGCTGGCCATGTTTGTGCAATGCAGTCCCAATCATGAAGATTTGCCAAACATACTCCACTGTGATTTCCAAGAAGACAATATAAGGCACCCTATAAAATGAAACATGTCATTTTAAAAAGTTAAAGTGTTACTCATATATACATTATACCTTTGCAAGCATACACACTCACACAGACTAAAACTTAATTTTCGCATTACCAGTCATTTAAATCCACCATGAAGATTTAGCTATGCAGCCTCTTTGCCAAAGCACCCAAGTTTTTCACACCACTCTCAGTGCTAAAGAACTGCCTTAATGAGGTTAAAAATACTGCCAAATGTTTTTTCCATGGCATGGCTGGCTGATTTTTGAATTATGTTATAAAGGAGATCATTCAATGATTAAGGACTACATCTAGCCTTTTCATGAACTTGTTAAGATCTGGCTGTGGTACAACCATTAGGGCTGCAAGCAAACAACTAGGTTGCTGACTAGGCCTAGACCTGAAGTTATGCTAACTGAACAGGATGCTGATAACTACTGGACTGGTGGACATGATAGTTACGTGAGACGCTGACAAGAGCTGCATACAGCATCATGAAGGATGGCTGGTTCTCACAGGTGGTTAAGGGGAAGTTATGTGAGAAATGGCTAAGTTTCCCCAGGTAATTGGAGGGAAGTCTTGGGGAACTTCTAGTGAGTAGAGTCTTGAAAGAACAACAGCACCTAGGCAACCATAGCGGCAATATCTCACAGTCTAAGACCACCTAGGTAACAGTATCAGAAATATCAAGGGTGGGTACTAATACAGCAAAACTGGAACCAACTGGGGATAAAGTAGTTAGGGCCAGGTTATTTATGTGGGTGTACTCTGGGGTGGAGAAAGGGAGGTAAAAGGGTAGCAAAAAGGAGGATCAAGAAAGAGTGAAGGGAATAAGTTACGCAAACTATGTAATCTTGTGCTGTCTGGGGGTACCCATCAGGAAGGTGGAATAGGATGATAAATCAAACCTGTTTTTCTGACAATACTATAAGAGTCCAAGAGTTCCTTCTACAGTCAGGATGACAGACAGGGGCAGGAAAAATATGAGAAGCAGTGGGTATGATGCTGTCCTGACCAGCAAAGGAACACCTGGATGGATAGATTGCTTGGTATCACTGTGTCAGTGCCAGTTCCAGGCCAGTCAGCGTCAGCAACTACCCACCACTTCATAACAAAAATGAAACAAAACAAAACAAAAAAAACAACCCTCCTTCCTCTCACCACTGTCTTAGTATAACAATTTTGGATAATCCACTTTTCATCCAGTGCAGACTATTTTCTTATACTGTTACAGCTGATGGAACTGCTTACAGAGTTTTACTGCTTTGGACTATAGTTTCCTCAACTTTTATTTCACAACTTTTTATTTCATAACTTTTATTTCACAGGTGTTAACAAAAGCTTTTGTTACAGCTGAATACACGATGAAATGCGGGATATAGGTAAACGTAAAGCTTCTGTTGTCAAAGGACTTAACCCAAATAATTCCTTACAATGTTAGTCATGCGTGAGCTATATGCTATAGAAGTATCAAAGTCATGCTGATAAACAAGCAAACTCCATTTTCACTACTAAAAATTCTCCTATAAAAAACACTTTGAAAGAAAAATATGAAACAAAGCGCATGAGACAGTACTTTAAATTGCTGTTGTGTGACGTCTTGCCGGTCTGGACACAAGAACTCCAAAACTAAAGGAATGATATCTCTGCAACAAAAATTGTATGTTCCCAGAGCTGTGAAGAATGCTTGCTGAGCTTTACTTCTGACCTGCGGGAAGAAGAGAAACATCATTAGAAAGTCTTCTAAATAAAACAAACAAAACAAAACACAAAAAGCAAACCCACAGGCAAAAAAAGCCCCCAAAAACAATCTCCCAAGAAAACCAACAACCCCCCTACCCATAAAACAACAATACCCATATCCTTTTCAGTTATTTATGCACAGTTTACATGATGTTTCTGCGCGCAGAAACAAATTATTTATAAAAGGGCATGCTTCCCTTCTCCCTCACTCACAGTTGTTTCTTAAAGCCACATACTTCCCTGTTTCTAGCAGCTACTTGAGAACAGCTATGCAGTTAAAAATACTTTGCATTTTCAAAAACTGTCGGGGGTTTTCAAGAGCATTTGAAAAGCAATAGCTAGCATAATAGCTGCAGTAAGCAGAACTCTAAAAGGCCTGTGGACAACACGGACGGATCTGGATTTACATACAGGTGGAGTTCCCACAGGCCTAAGAGTTCACAATCCAACTACCAGCACACTTACTGTGTGTGGTTTTTTTGTTTTGCCTTCTTTCCCCCATCCCCTAAAACTAAGATGCCATCAAAGCTACTTCCTAAAAGCAGATTCAGCATCCCATATACTCTGATGAATCATTTTGGGAATACCATACCTTAAAAACCTCAACCTGGCATATTTTTATTCAAGTCTTTTAGAAGTTCAGAATTAAATTTCTCAAAAAAATTTAAATATTTTAACTTAATCTCTTCACACACTTACATTTCTCATTTGTCAAAGGGGCTATGTTTTAATGCAAAAACTAGGCCAAAATTGGCAACAGTTCTAATCAGCCTGAAATAAGCGATTAAATGCCTCATGCTGCTATGGAAATAAATTGAGAAGTGAAGATCCTGAAAACCTTACCAGAAAGCCATGAAAAAAAACTGAACATATTTCAACTTAAGAACAGATTGTTTCTCACCTGACCATACGAACTTGTGGACAAACACAGAAGATCTCTGATCATCTCCTGGTGGGAGGTCTTATATTCACAGCCTTCCATCGTTAGTGTTCTCAGCTAAATTGCACAGAAAGCCCAAATGAAAGACAGACTGTTTTTGCACTTCACAAACGTAAAAGAAGTACTATAAGACTACTGCATCTTTTGCTAAATGACAAATCAACTTTTTAGTGAAGTGGTTAGTCAAGACTATTAACTGAAAGTATTACCTCATGCTGCAACATAACTCTGTCTATCAGCAAAGCTCTGATATGCTGCTTCTTTCCCTGAAGCTGTAAGTAGATAAATAATTGGGTTTAGAGTTCAATATTCACATTAACAATCTGTATTGACTGAATTCCCCCAAATACTACTCCTCTTTCAGAAACAGGAGAATTTGGTGTAGAAATTCTTCTTGGCAGACAACCTTCATTTTTTGCCTTGGTAGGGTTTTTAATCTCTAACACTTACTTTGCATATTTTTGGGGAAGATAAGTTCCTTCAGAAGCAAATGGAAGTTCTGATCTCAGAAACGACTCATCCCACAAGGACAAGAACAAGGCTTCATGGTAGGTTATTTGCTACTATGGCAATCATTACCAAATAAATATAATCATATCATTTAAGATACAAGATATTTAGAAAACCAAAGTTACGGAATCAAATTACGGAAGTAATCTTATCTATCACTGGCTCAAGAGTCAAAGCAAATAACTACAAATAGAAGGATTCTCCTTTATCAGCTTTGAGATATTCCTATGTGATATTTTCTGATGCCAAGCGCTTTGTTGTCATATCATCCTTCAGATATTCATTGAAGACCTGATATACAAGACACTGGGAACAACACAAGTGAATGCTAAATCCCTAGCTTTCTCAAAATTGCAGTCCACCTGCTCTCTGATTATTTTGATAAAACTGAGAAACTTACAACAGTGAAAACGAAATACAAATAAAGGTACAAAAGCACGGCAAAACAATATTCTGATAAAGGAATTAAATTTCAAACTCACAGAAAATTAGGAACTACTTCCCCTCTCCCACATACTTAAACTTTACAAAGTAAAAACACTGACCCTGTTCTCCATTGATTTTTTCACTAAATTAAAGCTTTTCCATCGTGAGTCAAACTCATGCTTGTGAGATCCTTGAAACTGTAAAACATCACTAATGATCTGTAGAAAGAAAGAGACAACAAATAGTGACTGTTTTGCAAAATCAAGTCATCCTATTTTAACTATTACAAATTATAAATATACCTTTATTATTAGAAATAAAGACTTGGTATCATCTTCTGAATTATCAAGTATATAGCCTGTGATTAGAAGAAAAATAGTTTATTATCAGATATGAGAACAGCTTTGAAATTTAACAATATTTCTATAAAGCTCAAATTTATGAACTACTGGCAAAGTAAACAACAAGTTTGCCAGCCTTTATGTATAAAGTTACGCTTAAAAGCGCAGCGAAACAGTACTTTTTGGATAGAGGGGGCAGTCATACTCACGCAACAGTTTCCTTGTAACCCTTGCAATTGTCTCTCGATAATTCTGTCTTGATAAATCTATATAAAATTAAATATATTCTCTATATTATATGATGGCATAAAAATCAATTTAAAGGTTAGTAAACCAGTGGAAAGTCAGAGCGGACTATTCAAAAATAGTGATATGGACTACAGTAAAAATAACCTTCTTGTCATATCTAAGGACATACAAAACAAAAGCCCTTACGAGAGTGATACCAAGACAGACGACTGTTTTTACAGGGACAGTCGTCTTTATCTGCCTTAATGGTTGGCATCACTTCTAACCACAGAACGAGGCAGATTACGTAGGATGTGCAAATTACTGAGTAACACATTAAGCCGGTTACAAAAGAAAGCCAGGGGATTTTAATTCATCAAACCAATAACACACCAGGAGTTTATTCCCCTTCAGCACATAGCGGGGAACAGACAAATACATTCCCAGTCCAAACAATGAAGAATATAAAAGAAAACTTAGGATGAAGGATACGAGCTTCCTTGGAAAGAAGTTCTAATTCAGATTAAACCGCTGTAAGAAACAGGTAAATTCAAGTTCATTCACTATTACGTGTGTTATACGACTACAAACTCACCATTTAAAATACGGACCAGATTTTAAAAGAAATGTCAAAACACTTAAATACATTTAACACTCTGATAAACAATTACTGTGTGCCTCAGTTCCCTATTTAAATTTCCTATCTGCACTCGGAAGCTCACGAAGAACACACACAAAGCCTAAAAACGTACAATGTTACTCTAAGAAGAGCTGTCACAGCTTTCAGCAGGTCACATCTTGCATTCCTTCAGTGTCTCAACCCCAGTCCTAAAGTGACAAGTGTTGCTTCCTGCACCTTTCATCTGGGTGAAAGTACATAGGCCCAACCATTTAGAGTTGAGAGTTGGAAGTAAGGCCCCAGCCATACCCCCAGCCGTACCATTGCAGCAGGCCAAAATTGTTGGCCTTCTCAGTCCAGTCAATCTGGTGAGAACAACTCAAAAAGCAATTTAAAAACAACCAATTCCCTCAGCTTTTCCATAAACAAGCCTCTGATTTTAATTTCAACCAGAAATCCTCAGAGTACACAGGATCAAAGCTCATTCTTCTTCTTACTTGCAATGAACGTATTTAAGTTCCTGTGAGCCCAGCTGGCTTTTACTTTGGTCTCCAGAGAGGCAGATACAGTCATACCTACCCAGTATGTCTTGACTGTCCGGACAACTTGTGACAACCAACTCAGTCCCTACCTTTCCTATATTTCTTAAGGACTAGATGTCTTTCCTGTCCAAAGTTTAAGCATAAGACAGAAGAATAAGCCATTCTTCATTGGACTGAAAGTACTGTGCAATAAAGACTCTCTCATCTCTGAGAACTGGAGTGTTGACAATTATTTCTTCTCCAATCCCATAATGAATAAACTTATGAGCTGCATGCTCTGAACATCAGTTAAAAAAATTCCTAGTTCATCTCAAGAGTCATGTAAGAACCGAAGATGAAACAGGAACTGGCACAAATAGCAGTGCAAGTTGAGAAGTACTTAAAATTCTGAATCAAAAAGGGCCAGCTACTAGACTAGACAGACATCACATATGAGCTGCTCTTCTCTCAACTTCGCAGTTTCAGAACCCGCAAGGATTAGATTCAGATAACCCTTTATGATTAAAACGTGACTATTAAGCAATGGACACGGACAAAACAAGGGAGACCAAAGGATCACTCATCGAGTATTCAGTTTCTACCTCTGCCCTACCAGTATGTTTGAAGACTATCTCATGTTTTCTTCCAGTATGTCAAGTATTAGTAACTGTTGATAATCAACATCCAGGCATTATTCTTTTGGTTACCAATCCAACTCTTCAATTTTCCAGTATTTTTACTTCAGATCTGTACCTTTACCATAATTTAAGATGAAATAGTATATACATAAAAACCCTTTTTAATATAAGGGTAACCAAACCTATGCTCCAAAAATGAACTTATTGTTTCTATAGCAGGAATTAAAAAAAAAAAACAAAACCATTCTCATAACCTGTCTGAAAAGAAATAGGATCTACTTACCATATTCAACACCCGTATACAGTTTTGTCTCTTCCAAAGACACCAGACTTGGGACCCTGCATGAAAACAAACTAAATATTACTATACAGTACGGAAATTGTTCGTTGTGTGAACGTCATTGGATTTTGAATCATTTTAACAAGTTAAATTTCATATGCCAGTAAAGCCAAAACGCATCTGGATTTACTAACAGTACGCATCAGCTCTCTAACATTTATAAACTAAACGTACCATAAGGACATCCTGAACCCACAGTCTTGACTTCTCATTTAACAGAGGCTCATCGGTTTTGTAAAACAGCCAGTGATTTCATTGCATTGTCAAACGCTCCTCAAAACAAATGTGACTCCTAATCCTAGGCTAGCAAGGGCAGATGAATTAGATTGCTGACTGTAAAGGGCTGAGATAGAATTCTTTCCTAACAAATTAAACTGATGAAGTTTTTCTGACTTTGGCCCTTTCTTTATAAAGCTGAATATATTTATTCATTATTTATAGGACCAATACTTATTGCTATATGAAGTTCATCATTAATAATCATGCCAAAAAACAACAACATGCTTTTCCAGGGTTCAGATCAATCTCATTAATCCAAATATTTTAAAAGTAAATGCTTATCCTTGTGGATTTGCTTTACACATAACCACGCATAAAAAAGAGCACCACTCAGACATGCGGCACAGAATTTAAAAGACATACACTACATACATTTGCCTTTTTTTTTTTTTTTTTTTTTAAAAACCTCTCCCCTGAAAACATGAAGGTAGATGAATTCCAACCTTCAAGAACAAAAATTAGTGTGCTTTGGAAAGAAAGTCAGAAGCAAAAAATTCTACACAGTTCAATTAAATGAGTAGCATCAGCAAGTAATCCATATATATATATAGATATATATATTAAATGTAGAACTGCATTAACAGCGTAATCAGAGCATACAAAGCTAAATGAAGGAATATGAACCTATTACAAATGCTAAATCACCCAACAGAAAGCACCTATAGATTCTGCATCTGAGCACATTCTATGAGATACTGAAATAAGCCTCCAAATTTCAGTCAATTACAAAGTTTTCTTTGGCAAAACCAGAAATAAGGGTCACATTTCTCTTATAACAATGGATATGTTAAAACAAGAGTGCTACAATTATTGTGCTGATTAGATGAAGGAATGTCAATCTCAAGGGAAAAAAAAAAAAGAAAACCTTACAACCAAAATTTAGGTAAACAAACTAAGTTCATACGCCTTGTAACAGTCACATCTGCACCAGTTAAAGTCAAACCGAAATGCCTTTTCCTAATTGATTTGGGCATCAAGAAGTGACATTCTCATTTCCTTTTCCTTGTTGTACTTCTAGTATCACTGAGTTAACCTTGAAAAGAAGCTATTCCAATAGTTTTACCACTATTTTTCCCCCTTCAAAAAAGAAACACTCAGCACTGCTAGGTGCTCAAGGTCCATCTTGGCCACTACTATAATTTTCAAAACATGCAGTACCAATCCAGCACGTTGCTCCTGCTAAAGCGTACATAAAGCTTTTGTGGTCTCTCACGCTTGCTCTTTTAGAATCATCTACATGACTGATTTAGAAAAGAGTTTGTTATGTATTTCTCTAAAATCAGATCTTTCTATTTGGAAGGTACAGAAAGGGACTATTTCTGAACTTAACCTCTAAAAAAACAAAAAGTATTTTGCCATCCCCGAACACTTCTCCTTACAAGGAAGGAGCATACAAACCCAATAACCTCAAGCAGTTAAACATACTAAGCAACTAGTTTCTTTTGTACAGTATGCCGGATACATTGGTAGCTAAATGAGCTCATAGCAGCAAAATTTTCCTACAGTATTTTAAAATATTTTTACCCTTAAACAGTTTTCCCTGATAAAAATACACAAATTAAGTTCCCATAAGGTTTTCCTGTCTATGAGGCAGCAAGGAAAATTAAAGTGCTATTTCCTGTTTTTTTCCCTCAGGTAGTCTACAGCAAGATTACAAATCTTTTCTTCCCTCCTGTTCCCAGCAGGACACACTCAATTACTTTTACCAGTTAGCCCAGTTCTGAAACAAATCTCTAAAGTTTCAAAACAAAGGAACACCACCACAGATCTGTTTTGTACTTCAGGTTCCCGAGCAGACCAGCAACAGCTCCTCAACTTGGAGCGTCCAATAAACCACAAACTAGATTGGGATATTCCTTACACTCATTACATCGCTCCGCAGGCAGAACCACCAGTTTCAACATGACTACTAATAGGATGAAAATATTACGTTCAAAATATAAAGTTTCCCAGTTGGCCCACAAACCACGCTGGTAACGTTCAGCATTATAAGTGTCAGCCACTGAGCCAGAAAAAAAAAAAAAAGCGAGGAGGGTTTTCCTTAGGACAGACAAAGGAAGGGACATGAAATGCTTTTAATAACTTTATAGTCAACACTGACGGCAAGATTCTCCAGACAATACTTCACGCAACGCATAAGTAATACTGCGCCTCATTCTGACTCAATAGCATCGAGACAGAATAATTGCCAAGAGAACTTATGAGCAACAAATATCCAAAGTTATAGCTAAAACAGAAATCCAAATAAACAGAACTCTGAAGAATTCATTCCCTTATTTGCCACACTGCAGAGACTAAAGCATCAGTACTTTTTCGAGAAAAAAAAAAGATGCATTACATTTTCCACTTCCAAACACTTTACAGAGCACTGTATTCAAGCCTTTGTGGACATATTCCTCACTTTATAAGTAACAGCTCAGCAATCAGATATAGATTTTCAGAAGTAAACAACATTTCGCATCACTCCACTGAGCAAATTGTACAGGAAATTTTTATAATTGTTTAAAAAAAAAAATACTGTGCCATGTAAAGGACTAGATCAAGGGCCATATCAACCTATGTTAACATTAGAGCTTTAAAAGTAAAAGACAACAATTGGAAGGTGAACAAGGAGAAAACAGGGTTACTCACCGTGGAGGAGTAACTGTTTCCTTTTCTGTGTGCAGCTCCCCTAGCAGAGCTGGGAAGTTTCCTGGAGATGCCAAGAGAGGTTAGCTAGCCCTGCCCCTCATCATACGGTGTCACATCCTTACACATTTCAAAGCAGCTGTCTTACCCTTGACCTCTACACTGAACATCTTCAGTGAAAGAAGAATAACAAAGCTCCTACCAACATCTCTAGCAAGAGTGCATCCTAACCAACGAAGCGATATTTAAGGGGGGGGTGGGGGCAGGGAAGAAAAAGCAGGGGGCCTGGGAAATTCTGCGAGTAACCCTGTTTTTGCCTCCCTGAAACAGCTGTTTAGGGCGAGCACATCAGTACGTAAGCAGTGAAGAACTGAACATCAGCAAGAGACTTAGAGAGCTTTATATTGTCTGTATTTGGGGGAAAAAAAAACCCTTCATTTGCACACTGTTACAGTTATTATATAAGAGGACACTGAAGTTATTCATAAACCTTAACAACATTATAGTAGCCCCAAAGGGAAAAGAGTAGATGTGTGTGTAAAAGCATTATGTATACCTATACACACCTTGCGCAAGAAGATAACCATTATGTTGGTTTTCAGCAGACATTGAAAAAAATTGTGTGTGTTCATTTTTCCCAGTTATGTCAGGGTAACTTGCATCACCATCTCCAGAGCTCTGAACACCTTAATTCAGCCACAAAATACTGCTGTTCTCATAAGGGATTACTCCTTCACATGCTTTAGCAGCCTCCTCCTCAACTTTTCTTCCCTCCCCCTTGTAACAATGCATTTATTTTAATGAAAATAAATGATTTAGAGAACACATCTGAAACCAGTTGCATACCCACTAAAGGTGAAGAACACATTACATGGAATAAAGAACAAAAAATTCAGGCTACTGATTCATGAAATTCAGCTTTCTACTAATTTGTTATGCCTGGCACTTCAGAAGAACTCGTTCATCCTCCTAAAAAGATAAAGGGAGGCATATTTCTTGCTCTTGATAGCTAAGAAGTAGTCAACATCAAGCGACAGTCATGAAAGCTCCGTTTCCTACTGAAATTCAACTATCCTCACCTATCCTGACAACTTTCAATTATGGAGTTTCTCTGCAAACAGATTGTGCACAAATCTCTTTTCTATTCAATTGCCTGTAATCTTGCTGAACACCTGCTCATATATGAAACTTTCACAATAACTTTGCAAGCTTTTAAAATAGCATGAAGTATTTAATTAAGCTATGATGGGATTTTCAGAAGGAGGGAGAAAGGAGAAAACCACCCACAAACCACACATAGGAATTGCTTGGTCTCTGAAAAGTTGGAGCATTATGAAATCCGAATAGTTTACGTTCAAGCTCACTGAGCAAGAAAAACACTCTAAGCACTTCACAACAGCTAAGCTGTTGGGCATACTGACTGTATGTACATGTGCGCATACATACATACGTTTACTTTTGGGTATAATGAACATACCAAGTCAACACTTGGTCAACCTAAGACTATGCTTTCTGCTCCCAACCTAAGACTATGCTTTCTGCTCCCAACCTAAGACTATGCTTTCTGCTCCCAACCTAAGACTATGCTTTCTGCTCCCAACCTAAGACTATGCTTTCTGCTCCCAACCTAAGACTATGCTTTCTGCTCCCAACCTAAGACTATGCTTTCTGCACCACACACGTTACCTTTAAGTTCATAGACTACCACACTCATCAAAAGATTAAAAAAAGGAGTAAGAGAAACTAAATCAAACAACATGAAAACATTAACCTAGATTGGCAAGAGATTCAAGAAGGGTCATGCCTATGTATACTCTTATTTATAGACAAAGGGAACTTTTGAAACCTTTACTCTAACCAGCATTTACTAAGCCATGAAAATAAAACCACAATTCAATTCTATCCAGCAAATAGAAGATACCATACCAACGCTGAGGAATTTTATTCAACTTCAGCTTTAACAAACAATCAAAGACATCAGAAAAGTTTTCCATCTTAACTATTCAAGAAGCAAATCTATTTTCAAAATTAACACAGCCTGTCAAGAAGCAAATAAAGGCTATTCACAACACAGAGAAATATTAACAAGCAA